GCACTTTTCTGTGTCCAAGAACATCTCTGAGCTCCATGTGACATGGCTCCACATCCTGAACACAAATACCTCAAATCATGCTTTAGGGTTTCTATAGCTTTCATCCCGCTGCCATGCGGTACAAATGTGTGTTCCATATTTGATCCATAAGGCTCCATTGATGCATGTCAATGAGCGTCTTGATGATTGATTGCAGTAAAATCAGGTCTTATGGCTTCATTATAATCTCCATTAAACATTCTTTTAGAATAGGATTGCAAAAACTGAGACCAGAGTCGAGTACTAAAGATAAGAAAGGTTCGAACACGAGGTGGGCGGAAGCAAGAAGCATGCATCACCTCACCTAATTTGCTCATAGACTAAACTCTAGGTTAGCCTCGTGCCTCAGCTATTAGCTGGTAAAACAAAAAAAAATCTGCTGTAGAGACTCATATCTTTGTAGGCTCATAGGATCCATATTTACAACTTACTTTTAGGCTCAGTTTATACACCATTATCCTCCTAACAGATTTTGACTCTGTTTCAATGTCTACTTGGCTAAGACCAGTGGGATGGAGCTCTCAGGAAAGTACGCATGAGTTAATGTCAAGGCGTGATTTCATAGAATAAAAAATGTTATCATTGGCAGGTTTGAAACTCACAAAGTCCAAGAAAAACAGATTTTGACTCTGATGACAACTTGACCTTGACTAAGACCAATAAAGATGAGTGTCTGAGATATTATCTATCAGCAAGTATTCAAGGAATGTTCTAATAGAAAAAATGCAACATTCAACAGGTTTCAAACGTGTTGCATTCCAATGGAAACAGATTTTGATTCTGTTATGACAACCACTTGGCTAAACACAACTTTGATGAGCATTTAAGAAAACCGACCATGAGCATGTGTCAAGGTGCATTTTCATAGAAAATGAATCTTATTATCAGCAGGTTTTAAACCTAAACAGTCCAGGACAACCAGACTTTGACTCTGATAATCACTTAGCAATTTAATCTTTAGTAGGTTTTGAACCCATGTAGACAGATTTAGATTCTGTTGTATCAACTGCTCGGCTAAGACCAGTGAGATTCACTTCCAATGAACTCATTCAGAAGTGAATTCTCAAGGCATATTTTATCTGCATTTTGTCAGTTCTTTCAATAGCATGGTCACTGTTGATTCTTTTATTCTGCTTTTTTTCTCTAAAAAATTACCAGAGGCAAATGCAAGTATCTTTGATGCAAACTTGGAATAACAAGTACAAGAGCAATTTAATTTTATCCAAAGGTCTTGACTTGGTTGAAGAAGAAGGGCAGATTACACATCAAACTTTCAAGTTCGATCCTAATGACCTGGGGAATGAGGAAGAATACACATCTGTCAAGACTGAGATTCAAAAGAGCCATCCGGTCATTATTCACTTATGTGTAAGGTTGAAGTGCACTGTATTTGAGACCTTTTATCATCATGCTCCACTCCTCTCGCTTTTTGAAAGTGCTGTATTGCAGTCTGTATTTAATTCATCTGTTCAGCTGAGGGAAAACATTGCGAGTGATAGAGAATGGTAGACTTGCCTTGCAGATTCACTTCTGAGTGTTTTCTTTAAAGATGGATCTAACTGGTGTTAGTCAAACAGTTGCTACAACAGAATCCAAATCTGTTTCAAATCTGTGCATGTGGGTTCAAAACCTGCTAAAGATGAAATTGCTAGTGATTATCAGAGTCAAAATATGTTTCTCTTGGAATGTGCAGGTTTGAAACCAGCCAATGATAAAATTCATTTTTTGTATAAAACCACACCTTGACACATGCTCATGGTCAATTTGCTTACAAGCTCATTAGAGTTTATATAAGTCACTTCTGAATGAGTTCATTGGGAGCGCATATAACTGGTCTTAGCCAAGCAGTTGATACAACAGAATCTAAAGTTGTTTGTGTGGGTTCAAAACCTGCTAAGAATCAAATTGCCAAGCAATTATCAGAGTCAAAATTTGTTTCTCTTGGACTGTGCAGGTTTGAAACCTGCTAATGATAAAATTTATTTTTTTATGAAAACACACCTTGACATATGCTCATTGTCAGTTTGCTTGCAAGCTGATCAGAGTTGTGTCTAGCAAAGTGGTTGTCATAACAGAATCAAAATCTGTTTCTATTAAAGTGTAACAGGTTTGAAACCCATTGAATGTTACATTTTTTCTATACGAAATGGTCTTAGCCATGAATTTCACCACAATGGATTCAAAATATGTTCTAATCAAGGCCTACAGGTTTGAAACCTGTGAAATGATATATTGTTTGTGTCTGTTTGATCTTTTTTAATGAATAAAGGCTTGGGTGGTGAGCATGCAGTGGGGGAGATAATTAGATCTAAATCAGTAACATCAGATTACTGATAAAACAATGATTGCGTCTTGATTACCTTAAAGTAATTGTTGGTTTAGATTCAGATTTAGAGGCTTCTCATGTTACCACAAAAATATCAGCACTCAGCCACCAGTAAATTGATGCTCTTATGATATGGTGGTCTCCATCCATTTTGGCTAACAATAGTTAGATGCATCTCTAAACAAATCATTCAGAAGTGAATCTATAAGGCAAGTCTATCATTCACAATGTTCCTTCTCAGCTAAATAGATGAAATGAATACAGACTCCAAACCAATTGGTGGTGTGTAGCGAGTCTTCATCCTAGTACTTAGTGCCAAATATGTACATACAAAACTTATTTCAAACACCGCAACTTTGGACTCTTACACACCTAGCCGACTGGCACAACTTGTAGTGGCGCGAAGTTTGCCACTATTTGTTCCACCGAAAATTCAACTGAGTGGTCAACAAATGGTCGGGTATACTGGACAGACCTTTCAATAATTGTAACATGTGTGACAATGCACTTTGGTCACCCCATTTTAGACACCTCTTAGGTTGATTGCTACCTATAGAGGTTTTTACCTAAGAGGTACTTTTCTGGTGGTCTACCCAATGTTCTGTGGTCTTTCCCTGTTGTTGTTAGGGACCAAAGACCATTGGGAATATGTTGTGGGAGTACCATATGATGATTTGGACCACTTGAATTCCCTATAACGTAGGGGTGTCTGGGGTCTTCAACTAACAATTTTTTGGCAAATTTCCCTACCTTTGTGGATTGCATCTGTGCCCTGTGCCCTGCCTCCTAGACCCCCCCATAAACCTAATGAAGCTTTTTTTATATAATTGAACAATATATCAAAATTGTATACTTTGTCCAGATGACCTACAGTCATCTCCAACATGCCAGGCGCATAACCCACAACAGATTTCATTATATACCCACTAGACCCGCTCACATCCTCTGGAAAATTGTCCTATGCCCAGTTCAGTTCTACCTAACACTGCTGGTACGTATACTTCAAACCACACACATGTTGGTTCATCACACCCACTCCTCAATGCTCACTCCGCTTGCATCTTGGTAGGAGGCTCCTTCCTGTTTAACCATATTAGCTGCAGTACCTCATGGCCATTTACCTACCTTTGGACCCAGTAGCTTTACTATAACCTTTGTCTATAGTACTCCAGACTTTCACATAGATAGATGAATAGGGATGGCATACCACAGCATTGCAAAAATAATAAGCAGACGAGACCACAAGCTTAATGGGAAGGACCGTAGGTGTGATGTGCCTGCAATAGGGAAGACCGTAAGCTTAATGGGACGGACCATAGGTGTAATATGCATGCTATAGGGAAGACTGTACACTTAATGGGAAGGACCATAGGTATAATATGCATGCTATAGGGAAGACTGCAAGCTTATTGGGACGGACCATAGGTGTACTATTCATGCTATAGGGAATATGCAGGCTTAATGGGACGGACCATAGGTGTAATGTGTATGCAATAGAGAGGACCGTAGGCTTAATGGGACGGACCATAGATGTAATATGCATGCTATAGGGAAGACCACAGGCTTAATGAGACGGACCACAGGTGTAATATGCATGCTATAGGGAAGACCGGAAGTTAATTGGGAAGGACCATAGGGAAGACCACAAACTTATTGGGAAGGACCATAGGTGTACTATTCATATTTTAGGGAAGACCGCACACCACCACCCCCCCTTCAACAGCCTAATCTGACTAGAATTACTCCATTTCTACTAGGAAGACACCATGTCCGATTCTTCCTGAAGAACATGTATGTCACTCAGCTACTATGCACACCACCACCCCCTTTAACAGACTAATCTGACTGGAATTACTCCATTTCTACTAGGGAGACACCATGTCCGATTCTTCCTGAAGAACATGTATGTCACTTGTTACGACAAACGGTCGTGTGCGACTAGGATAATCTAACAGCGACAACCACGACAGTGGTACCGAGTGCTGAGAGTCGTCGGCCTTTACAGACAAGCAAAGGTTGCGTACTCGAACGTAGCTCGTGGTGGTTAACGAGGGGTTACGCTGAGATGATAGCAGAGGTTACAGACAGTGAGAGGCGTCACTGAAGGTACGAGTCGATGTCGAGCAGGTAGCTTTAGCGGGACAAGGAGTTCAGGGAAAACCTAGTTGATTAGACTAGCTTCTGGGTAGTACCTAGTAAGATTAAAGTAAGGAACGTCTACTTGTAATCTTCGACCTTATATAAGGCTACTCTATCGTATCTAAGCTCAGCCTAAAGCTGGGTTCTAATATGCTTATCTATGAGTCAGAGATAGCGTCCATGAGGCGGGCTTCTATCGTAGATAGCGTCCATGCGGTACGCTTCTATCAGAGATAGGATCCACGTGGTATCCTTCTATCAGTACATGAGGCAACACGAGGCTTGCCTTCTATCTTGATAACATAAATAGGTCTTCTAGACCTATGTCGTCATGTCCATGTCACGTGCGGTCCAGACCGCTGACTAAGCCGGCAGTTGCCGCTTATCGTCTATCATCATCTATCTTCATCTATCGTCATAGGGCTGGTGAGACCCTGTATCGTCTATAGCCGTGCGGTGGCAGAGGGCTGTCTGCTGGCGGGGGACTCGTGCCATGTTACTGTAACATTACCCCTCTACTAGCGTCAAAGTCACCGACTTTGAGTATCCTGTGTTCATTGTCAGCTTCCATCGTCGGGGGTGTCGTAGGCGTGGAGACGGCTGGTACGGGGGGAGTTTCTGGTTCGGGCGAAGGCGGTGCTGGGTGTCTAAGCGTGAGGTCCGCGAGCGCTTTATGGTTGTGCTCCCAATCTAAGAGAGCTTCGAAAAACTTCTCTTCATCTCTAAACTCTTGGAGTACGATACGTCCATTGAGCTGAGGGCAGTGGACCGACAGGTGGTCAGGTCCTAGTTCGTCGCAGACTGCAACAAACATAATCTGGACACTTTCTAAACGTGTGTCCGAATCCTCCGCAACGCTTGCAGAGCGTGGTACGGGTAGCGATCTATGGTGGCCGCCTTTCTTCTTAGCGAGCGCACCGGTCTGGATCTTTCTTCAACATGAGGCCTTGCCTCGACTGTTCTGACAGCTTGGTTCGCGATGTCTGGGAAGTCGAGCGGAAGGAGGTGAAGCGCGAGTACGCGAATCCTTTTCTGTAAATGAAGCACGGCAAGTTTCTTCGTGCCTTCATCGAGGTCATCACGATTGGCTACGTCTTCCAGCAGCTTCGTGGTACGGATAATGCAGACAGCAAGGGATGTCCCTGCACCGAGTCTGGCGTCTTGCTCACCAAGGATGTCGTCGATCACTTGGGAGTACATGGGGGTGAGAATAGCGGTCTCGCTGAACGCGTTGTTCTCAATCGTCTTAAGGATGCGTCCGTAGTCGGAGTCCTTAAGTGCAATGCGGATAGTTTCTTCTACAGTAGAGGTCGTCATGATGGTGGGAGGTTCTGGGGAAGGATGTTCTTGGGAGAGGCCTTATATGGCGTCCAGGTCGTTTCCAAGCTCCGCTTGATTCGAGACTTATCTTTTGTTTAAGGTTCTTCTATCGCTATCTATCTAGCCATGAGGCTGAGATCTTCTCGTTATCGGGAACGAGGTACGGTTCTTCACTATCAGAGGGGAGGTGCCGTGATAGGTACGATCTTCGTTAATCCTTTGTTTGATACTTGGGATCAAGGTTCGTCTTCATCAGAGGGTGGTAATCATTGCCATAATGGTACTGGGTGCGTTCCGTTATCTTTTGTCGATATGGTCGGCGGATCTAGAGGGTTCCGAGGGCTTGCAGGAGTTTCCGAGGAGTTCGTCTCATGATAGTTTTACCTCATTCCGGAGGATCGTCTTCTATCTTTTGTTAATCAGAGTCGAAGTCGTTCTGGAGGATTCCGTGGGTAGGGAGTTCGCCTCGTGATAGTTTAGCCTCGTTCCGGAGGATCGTCTTCTTTATCTTTTGTTGAGATCTTTCGGATCTATCTGGATGTCGAAGGGGGTTCTGTGGATAAGAGATCCGCGGGCTTGCAGGAGTTTCCGAGGGTTCGTTCTGTCTCCGGTTCTTCTTCGTTATCTTTTGTTACGATCTATCTTTCAAGATCTATCTGGATATGGAAGGTCATCTTCTATTAACCTTTTGTTGATACTATCTTCATTAGGGTGGAGAAGGTGCGGGGTCCAGGCGTAGGTGCCAAGGCTTGCAGGAGTTTCTTGGGGTCGTCTCGCGAGGAGGGGTCTTCTTAATCTTTGTTGAACGAATCTTCATCGATTGTCGAAGGATCATGGATAAGGGGTTCCAGGGCGATGGGAGCCGTTCGGGGAGTTCGTCCTTTCTCCTAGTTTTACGTCTTCTCGGACGATCATAGTTTTAGGTCGTTGCGGACCGATGCGCAGTTTAGAGCCGTGCTGGGCTGGTCGTAGTTTACCCTCTTTGCGGAGCATCGTGCAGTTTAAGGCCGTGCCGGGCCTGTGCGCAGTTTAAAGCCTTGCCGGGCTCATCGTCGAAGTCGTCATCAGGGATTATCAGAAGTAGTCGGGAAATGGTATTCGTGGTGGGGGGTGTCGTGCGTGAAACGAGAATAAATCAGGGATTTTACCCCCTCAATAAGCCGTTTAGTCTACCATGACTAATCTTCAGTCTAAAAATCGAGGCCGTCGTCAGGGCCTTCGTATTCGATTTCGATTCCTTCGTCATCAACCATGCGCCAAGAGTGCGTCGATGGTTCTTCTAAATCCAACCATATATTTTCAATGGGATTGGAAGCAGGGTGTGGCGCGTAGAGCGCCCGAGGTTCGGAAGCGAGCGTTATTGCTTCGCTTCGGTCATCGTCAGATTCCATATCTGTGAAGCGGATAAATTGCGGTCCGACTTCTTCTTCTTCCTTCTTTACAAGACGAGCAAACTCGTCAGGGTCATTTTCGCTCATATCCTTCAGGCGATGGGCCTCGTTGATAAGACGAACACGTTCTACAAACATGTCGAAGTCTGAGTCGGAAGATGGTTCTGGGGCGGGTTCCCGGTGTTGCATCATTGCATCGATGTTATCAGCGGGGATCTCCGCGGAAGGCATGGAGAGGTTAGGGAATTCGGGATGGGGTTTTCATCGGCTGTGTCGGTATCATCAGCCGGGCTTTCGTAAAACCTGAGTTTCTTGGCTTCAGGTGGTTCTGCCGTCGACACGGCTCTTCCTTTTCCGAGAACGGAGATCGGTTCTCCGGAAAATTCGAATCTAGGGGTCGTCTGAGTTTTCTCTGGTTCAGGGGCCAGTCGGGGTGCCTTCGAGCGAGGCGGTTCTTCTGTCATAACTGCACGTCCTTTTCCGAGGACTGATGCAGGCTCCGCCGAGAACTGATAAGGTCCAGGAGTCTCTTCTTTCATCGGCTGAACAGCCGGTCCGATCTTCTTCGCGGGTGCGTCAGGGATTATATAGTCCGTGATTACCGCAGGTCTTACGACCTTCTTCTGAGTTGTCTCCGGATCAGTGGCCGGTCTCTTCTGCTCGAATCGTTTTGCTGCGAGGTCAATACGAGGCAGCGAATCTTTCTTTACGATTTTCGTAGATCGTGCAGTAGGGGTGGGGAGTTTCACGGATGGCGGGTTTCCGTGCGGTTCCTCTTGAACCGGTACGATCTTCGTCGTGGGTGCCAAGCTCATAGAAGCGAGGCCACTGGAGAAGGCGCGGGGAGTGGTCGGGGACACGGACCTTTTCCTTTTCTGTGCGCCCTTCTTTTCTTCTTTCAGGAAGAGGGGCGTCTTGCCGTTCTTCTTCCGGTCGGAGTCAATCTCCTTTTCTTTTCTTCGGGAATCTACGGTGCTTTTGAGAGTCACCGTACCGTTCGTCCAGTTAATAGCGGGGTTGTGGCTGATAAGCCAGGGTTGTCCGAGCATGAGCTTCTCTTTCGGAGTAAGCTCGGCAAGGTAGAACCGTTCGGTGCATACCCGTTCGTCAATCTGGAAGGAGAGGGTGCAATACCTCTCTATCGGCTTCTTTCCGAAGCTGGATCCGTCAGCGTTAGAGAGCGTGAAAGGCTTCTCTAGCTGGTGCGACGAGATTCTGTGTGTAGCACAGAAGTCCTTGTTGACAAAGGACTGACACGCCCCTGAGTCTACGACCATGGATGTCGCGATGGGAGTGTTTCTCGTTCTGGTCATTAGGGTGGCGTTCACCCGTAATTCGTTCTTCTTAACTCCGGTCTCTTTGATAGAGTTCAACCGGAGGTCTTCTTCGATCATCTTTCTCCGCGGGGTTCTGGGCCATTGTGGGCAGCCCGCGGCTTTGTGGCCAATGACGTGGCATACAAAGCATCTTTTCTCGTTTAGGTAGATACGAGTTTCCTTTCCCGTAAGGTGGGAAGCGGCCAGGGTGTTGCGGGAAGTTGCCATATTGGAGATGGTTATCTTCGTTCTTCGTAGTGTTCCGAGCAGGAAGTTTTCTACTGTGACAGCGGTTCTTATATTCTTGCGACTGGTCAGGCCGGTACGTTTCGGGGTTTCTTCTACAGATCTTCGGTAGCGTTGAAGATAGGTACGATCAGGGATCTGGCGTCACAGATGGGTGACGTGCGAGTTGGACTTTAATCTTTTGTTACGACAAACGGTCGTGTGCGACTAGGATAATCTAACAGCGACAACCACGACAGTGGTACCGAGTGCTGAGAGTCGTCGGCCTTTACAGACAAGCAAAGGTTGCGTACTCGAACGTAGCTCGTGGTGGTTAACGAGGGGTTACGCTGAGATGATAGCAGAGGTTACAGACAGTGAGAGGCGTCACTGAAGGTACGAGTCGATGTCGAGCAGGTAGCTTTAGCGGGACAAGGAGTTCAGGGAAAACCTAGTTGATTAGACTAGCTTCTGGGTAGTACCTAGTAAGATTAAAGTAAGGAACGTCTACTTGTAATCTTCGACCTTATATAAGGCTACTCTATCGTATCTAAGCTCAGCCTAAAGCTGGGTTCTAATATGCTTATCTATGAGTCAGAGATAGCGTCCATGAGGCGGGCTTCTATCGTAGATAGCGTCCATGCGGTACGCTTCTATCAGAGATAGGATCCACGTGGTATCCTTCTATCAGTACATGAGGCAACACGAGGCTTGCCTTCTATCTTGATAACATAAATAGGTCTTCTAGACCTATGTCGTCATGTCCATGTCACGTGCGGTCCAGACCGCTGACTAAGCCGGCAGTTGCCGCTTATCGTCTATCATCATCTATCTTCATCTATCGTCATAGGGCTGGTGAGACCCTGTATCGTCTATAGCCGTGCGGTGGCAGAGGGCTGTCTGCTGGCGGGGGACTCGTGCCATGTTACTGTAACATCACTCAGCTACTACCTTCATGTTCTCTCAATTAATGAATACATATGTAGATGTAGCTCAAAAGTACTCCATTGTTTGCTACTAGTGATGTCTCAGCTCTCGCATACTTCCAGGTCCTTTCAGCAATCAAACACTCTTCATTCTTTGCTCCATCCATCCCTTCAACACTTCATCCAGCCCATGCATTACTGCATGATGGCGAGTGGGTTGGCATTGATGAAGACTGGTATTTGAAACACGTCAAAACAGCTGACTCACGTCCATTGGAATTACAACAATTAATATTTTTATTAGATCCAGCTCAGTCTTCAGCTACAGTCAGTGTTTGTCCAATTTGTTTTTGTTGTCATGGTTGTGACACGTTCATTGCCAGGTCACTGCAGACTCCGCACCTGTCGACCTCGTATCCTTATCACAATCTATTGATAATATCACGCACCATATAGTTCACAGCCTCTCTACCCCATTGGGCGAGATGTACATGTTGCTTTGCCTTCTTGCAAGAGAAGCAGCTAGGCAGACACCGACCCGTATAGAGTCGAGTCATATTACACGCACACTCATTGTACGATTGCTACAGCACTTAGCTCCACATTCATCTGCCTCATTGTTTGGCTCTTTTGGCAACTTATATGGATAACAGTCAGTCACTCTCACATGACATTCAATGCTTTCGCATGAGGTCTACCTTACTTTATTTTCACTTGGTTAATGAATACATGTGTCGTGTGTAGCTACATGTAGCTCGAATGTACTCCATTGGTGAAGTGATTCAAGAGTATGAAGCTGAAAGTAGAGAAGCATGAGAGAGCGGAGTCACAAGACATAGACACCATTGATATTGATCTTTATAATGTTGCACGAGTGCAGAAGACCGTGCACATGAGGAAAAACCACACACAGTAATATTCTTTGATATCAGGTAAGTCTAGACAATTGTGATCAGCATGTAAGATAGAGGACAAAACATAAACCATGAGTCATGGATTACAAAAGCATGTTTGCATATGCATAAGAATTTTAACATGAGTCATCGGCATGCAATGAGTGAGGTAAGTCATAGGCAAGTAGTAGCATAAGTCATGACAAGTATCATAGTCGAGATCAGACAATATGACAGGTGGTTATA